TCAAGTATAATGTAAGTATAAGAGTATCAGTGTTGTAGATAGTTACCATAAGTACAGGTGGTGTACATATATTCCTAACTTTAACAAAAATAATTTCATTATTACTAGGAGAAAGAGGAGGGGAGAGAAGTATTCTGGCTTGCAGATTCTGACATAATATAAAATTAAAGAAATCAGTGTATTAGAAATTCAAAGAGAAATTAAGAAGCCCTACAGCAGTGGTGGCGAACCTATGGCACGCATAGGTGGCACTCAGAGCCCTGTGGGCACGCGTGCCATGCCCCGGAGATGGTGAGGGACTGGGCCCCGCCCATCCAGTCTGCCATGACCACCGCAGCCACGCCCACCCGGCACCTGGCGATAAATAAGTGGGTTTTGGGTTGCAGTTTGGGCACTGGGTCTCTAAAAGGTTCGCCATCACTGCCCTTCAGCAAGAGAAAAAATAAGGAAAAAAACAACTTGTTTCAACGCATGAAAAAAGAAATAGATTTTTTGTCCACTTTCATCTACTTGCTTCAAGGATTAACTAATTTGCACTTAGTACTGTAGCAGATGTACAGTAGTAGTGTAGTAGATAAACCAGGTATTCCTGAGATACTATTTTTAATCTCTTTTATATTAATTATGATTTCTTCCATGAAGGACTAACTGGCCAAAACAACTGGTGTGTATGGGACACAACTAATCAGATGTTTCTGTGCACTGTTCCCTATATAAACACAGTATTCCTTGTTGCCGCTATTAAATGAAGATTGATTTTGAAATAAGGAAGGATGTACTGTCTTCTGTTTCCGAGATAAAATCCCAAATGCTAGAGTTAGTTATAAACTGCTACTGCCTTAGGCTTTACACAGAAAACCCACTTCTCTGTCTGTTAGAGAGATCAGCTTCCTCTTTTTAAGAAGCTGTTTATGGGGAAGTTCTTGGAATTTAACTTGCAGCTATGGGGAGGACTGAACGTTTCAAGTAAGTTTGCAGAAAAAAAACATAAAATAAACTTTCAACTATGTATGAAAAGAGGGGAAAATGGATATCCAATAAATGGCTTATTGGCTTTATTTGTAATACCCAGGACAATTCAGGACTCTAGCAAAATAGTTTAAAATAAACTAGTCTTCTCGTTTTCCTTTAATAACAACTTCCAGTGCATAATATGCTACTTGTTTGCTACAAACTACCCTTCATCTTGTTTTAAAGATCTGCATATGAATAAGAGAAGGTATAAGGATGCTAAATGATTTTACCTCTAGAGTTGCCTCTTACTTCTTGAATAATTGTGAAATAGTGAAACTACTGATACAAATACAACTCAGACTTTAGCGGTCATGTTCAGTACCACTACTGTAGAAAGGAATTGCTTCCTGGCAGCTTTTAAGCTGTCTTATTATCAGCATTGGTGATATTTCCACTTAGGCTGCTAATGAGAAGTGAGAGGATCTCTTAACTCTCTAGAGCTGAAAGATTCCCTCATAGTTAATCATGCCTCATAAAGAAATTCAGGTATCAGTTTAGTGTGTGTGTGTGTGCGCGTGCGCGTGCATACACATATATATGCATGCATGTGGCAATACAAGACAAGATGAGCCAGGATCAGGGCCCCATTCAATTAGGAAATGTCTTGATGACTTAAGGTTGGTTGCAACAAATGGTTACAAGGATAAAATTGGAAGATATGTTGCCCAGCTAGGTGGAACTCCTAGCCAACCTTGGCTGATATTGAAAAGCTAAGCAGAATCAGGCCTGGTTATACCCGAAGGGATGACCAACAAAGAATATAAAGGACATACTATAGAAATTGAAAAACAACAAACATACAGAAGACAGCAGTGATGAAGTGCTTGCATTTTGGTTCCCCCCCCCCAAATTATATAGATATAATCATGAGGTCTTCAGATGTCCCTTCCCTGCCTCTCCATGTATTCTACCCTGAGTTGGCATATAAAAGCGGCAGATAAAATAATGTTCCCTTGAACACTGAAACTCTCAGATTTACAGCTGGTCTGTGTGTTCAGGTCAGCAAGCTGAATTTCAATAGAGATGGACCTCAGCTACCCTCGAGAGTCAGGAAACGCGCTTCCAAAAATCTATAATGAAAAAAATGTAGAAATAGAAGTGTCCTGCACATGAAAGGCAGAAAGCTGTATTTGAAGTCATTCCAAAGCTCATTTCTACATTCATTTTTCATAGGGTAGTATTTAGTTCAAAACATGTCGTAATATGACATAGGAAGTGTATCAACTTTCTTTTATTATCTAAATCTGATATATTTTTATTGTGGCTGAATCTCTAACAGCATTGCTTGTATTAAACTTTTGTTATGGTTTATAGGAGGCCTAGGTTTTCCTCAGGGAAGTGTGTGTACCATTTCCAGCTTCAAGAAAGCATGGTCTCCTGGCATCTTGGTTTCACCAGATAAGGAGCTCCGTGGCCTTTCTTGGCTGACCCTATCTTGCAAAGATCATAAAGTTTTTTTGGGGGGAGACCCTAATCTAAGCATGTGATGATTCCTTTTTATTTTAGGTTTTTCCTCCATTCTTAGCTAGAAGATCACAACTTGGAAGAGTAATGTAGAGAAGCAAATGTGTTATAGTGCAGAACCTATTGTGTTCAGAAATGGAATATTAATCCAATTATTCCTTATCTCCCCCTAGTCACACTGATCTGACTATTTTGAGGATGGCCCTCAATTATCTGAAAATTAATCTTCTGAATGTGGTGCTCTCTGAACTTGGTAGTTTTCTTGCAAATGTTTCATTACCCAGATAGATGACATCATCATACTTTCTCCATGAAGTAAAGAAAAGTTTAAAAGACAGGGATTTCTACTAGGATTCTTGCTCAGTGATAAAGAACTGATCCGAAAGCTGTTGCTTTTAAAAATAAAAACAAGACTCGTTGATTGCACAGATATGTAGCTTACTTATCAGAACATCCAAATTTCCTAGGGTATTAATTTTAAAAGTTGCCTTTTTCTTATTACCATGAGAAGAGGTAGGCTTGTCTTGATGAGAAATTTCTTGCCCAACTCAGAACCTGATGACTAGAGTCTTAAGCAGTTTCAGCATTCCTGTACACATGACTCAAATGTAACTGCTAAAACTAACCTAATTGGAGATCTTCCAGCATGAAAGAAATTGCTTCACTTCCCAATAATTGGGTTAGATTTAATTAGTGAGATTTGCTCCACTAGAAGACATGTTGCTGACTTTCAATGATAGCCACACACCATGTTGCAAATATGGTGCACAAAGCATTCTTGAAATCCTGCAGCTGTGCACTTTTTAAAAAGGGCAGGTTTACTTTCTAGTATTCTAGTTCAGGACAATTGTTGTGTAAGGTATGGCTACACTGTGTGAAAATTAATAGGAAATTGAAAGCACTAATAAGCAATTATAGGCACCTAGTTTTGGGCCATTTTTAAGTGTCCTAAGTGGATTCGAGATAGAGTTCTGACTTATGACATGTTTAGAGCTGTTATCCTCATTGTTTATAATCTCTCATTTTCCCTCAAATAATACATTATAGAACTCTCTTCTAGAAGGTACAGTTGTTGTTAATTGTGAAGTCGTGTCTGACCCATCACGACCCCATGGACAACATTCCTCCAGGTCTTCCTGTCCTCTACCATCTTCTGGAGTCCATTTAAGCTCACGCCTACTGCTTCAGTGACTCCATCCAGCCACCTCATTCTCTGTCGTCCCCTTCTTCTATTGCCCTCAATATTTCCCAACATTAGGCCCTTCTCCAGTACTCATGTTCAATCGAGTAACAACTCTCCATAAAGCTATATTCTGTAGTTAATAAGCAACTGATTTTAACAAAATAAATGCTCAGTATCTTTGGGAGTGAGTGCACATAAGCATTTGTGTACCACTGCACGATACTACAAACATTACTGTAGAAGAGCAGGCAGAGCTGGGGTGGGCAGAGTTAAACACGTCAGCAGGTTAGAATTATTGCATTTGCACAAGTGCTCCAAGTCAAACCCCTCTTGCATTCTGTTGACCCTTGATTTAGCACTAATTTAGTGTTGAACTTTAGTTGAACAGATTTTTGTGTATAGGCTTGAATAAATGTTCTGTGCTGCATTAGCCTGATTGTTTGTCCCTGACATTACCCTGGTTATTCAGAGCTACACTTGATAGTATTTTTGAACTATTGTATATGCTAGAATAAAATTAAAGCACAAGGTGCATTCTCTAATTTCCTTATGTAATGATTTTATATGGAGTTATTATATTTACATAATTTTGACTTTTGAATAAATATCGTTTTTTCTCTTCTCAACGTTTAAAAGAAACTCTTAAAAGGTGTAATGGTTTGGTGTAGACTTTTTATTGACTGGTTAAAAGAAATCCCATGGTGGGAGGATAAGGATAATATTTGTGGGTGGAATTCTTACTCTTTTCAATTAGCAATACATGCATATAAAATATACCTGTGGGGCATGTAGTAAAAAATAATTGCTTTGTCATTTGAAAGTACTCTGTGGATGTTTCAAGCAGGGGGAGAGGGGAAACACTAGGTTTCAAAGAATCATGTGTTTAAGATGGAGCTGTACAGCTTGATTGAGGGGTGACTATAATATAAATTTGTTCTACATCATAGATTCTTGTTATTAAAAACTTGGTGTGTGTGATGCACTCATTCCCTTATCCGCCTGGAGTAGTGAAGCTGTATTCTTATTAACTTGCTAATTCAGTGTTTCATGGTGAGTTCCAGAATAAAGTTTGACATTTAAACATCTGATTTACTTTAACCAACTCTTAAATGGTGAAACTGAAAGACTAAATATGGAACTGGCAAATTGGGTGCGTACTTAATTGTCCCATAAATACAATCTTAGAAAGCTAAGTTATTTTTCCCCCTTACTTCGGCCCATTTCAACAATTAGACTTTCTTTAAAACTAGCTGTCCGTTAGCAAAATAAACCTGAAATGATGTGCATTGTTAGCATGTTATCCAGAAATAAAGCCTGTCTTCCTTTCCCCTTTTTCCAGGTTTTGAATGAAGAATGCGATCAAAATTGGTACAAGGCAGAACTCAATGGCAAAGATGGCTTCATTCCCAAAAATTATATTGAAATGAAACCACATCCGTAAGTAAAGTATTACTGTTTCCTCAATTATTTGGCACTCTTACTGACTGAGCTGTGGTGAGAGGAATCAGATTCTTTATTAAAATACAATGCAGAGAGCAATACAGAAGCAACTTTGTGAATGAATAAATAAATGCATATTTTGCTTATAAATCTGAGGCAAGACTGACCAATGTACAGGTAGTCCTCAACTTACAACCACAACTGATTCCAAAATTTCTGTTGCTAAGTGAGGCATTTGTTATGTGAGTTTTGTCCCATTTTACACGCTTTCTTGCCACAGTCGTTATGTAAATTCACGGCAGTTTTTAAGCTAGTAACATGGCTGTTAGTGAATCTGGCTTCCTTATTGACTTTGCTTGTCAGAAGGTTATAAAGAGGATCACATAAACCCAGGACACTGCATAAATATGAGTCAGTTGCCAAGCATCTGAATTTTGATCACCTGACCGTGGGGCTGCTGCAGTGGTCGGAAGTGTGAAAAACGATCATAAGTCACTTTTTTCCCAGTTCAGTAACTCGGAACGGTCACTAAATGAAGTGTTATAAGTCGAGGATTACCTGTAGTAGAGTAATTATTGTTTTATAAAAAATATAATTGAGTTATTTTGTTACAATTTTTGGATCTATGTTTAACACAGATAAGCCACAGTGCCCACAAGGTATTTTGAACAGCAATTCTCGCAATAACTGGTCACTTGCTATGCTTGCTATGACTCATGGAAATTTTAATCTAGGAGGGATTCAGATTTCCTACCATTAAAGTAGAAGCTTTAGGTGATAACTCCAGCCAAAAATTCATTTGAAAACACACTAAGTTAAAAAGGTGAAGATTACGTCTTCTGACTTGTATCTCCAAAGAAAAATATCTTCAGTCTCATGAGAAAAATCATGATCTAATATATTACACAATTTTGAATAGAAGGTGCCATCAAGCTGAAGAATGAAGCTAGGAGCAGAAAGTTGGTTGTTTACATTGGCAGCAGAGAAGTAGATCATGTGGAGCTGAGTTCCTTGTTAGTGCATTCATAGCTAGTATTGCAGAATCAGCAGTTAAGCCCAAGTTGTTGCTTTTGCTGCAGTTATGGCTATTCATCCAGTACAATATTTGATTCTGGTCTAGTAACGGTGGTGATGTAACTATTCAAAAAAAAGCCGGGGGAACAAATTTTTGGACTAAAATTCTTTCCTGTACTTGCTTCTTTCCTTCATCAGTGACAACATTATTCTTGGTACACCTACACAAAGTCTACAGAAAACTTTAGTTCCTCAGGAAGTTTGTGTGACATGTCAGCAATAGGGAAAGCGTAGAGCAGACATGTCAAACACAAGGCCCGGGGGCCGGATGCGGCCCATGAAGTGGTTTCATGTGGCCCGCGAAGCCATCCTGGAAACAGTGAGGGAACGGCCCCCTCTGTCTTGGCCCTGGCCCAGGTCAGCCGGGAGCCAATGTACAATTTTGTGGTGGCCATCTATGCTGAAACGCATTCAGTCTTAGCTCCATAAGCCCAACCCCCGCATTGCCTGAGAGGAACAGTGAGGCTCCTCCAATGGACTATGCCTTGGCGCTTGCCCTGGTCGCACCCCCTTCTGCCAGAGACCCTCAGATCTGTCCCACTCCTGCCCAGGCCCCCACAAGCACCCTTGACGCGAACGATGTAGAACTGGCCACACCCTCCCAGTAGGCCACACCCACTCCATCCACGCCCATCCTGGCCACACCCACCCGGCCCCCTGAGGGCAACCGCAATGCTGATGTGGCCCTCAATGAAATTGAGTTTGACACCCCTGGCGTAGAGTGTTTCTCTTGATGTGTAGTGCAATGTAAGCATTGCCATGGTCTCTGTACTGAAAAGTGTTAATAGCAGCTTCACACTCATTAAGGTGTTAATAGAAATAACATCATTACAGGAAAAAAAATTAAGCGTACGTCCTGCCTAACAAACTATGCAATATCGTCCCAAAACTGATTCCAGTTAATATTGAGCTCTCTCTACTTTTCATTTTTGTTCTTTACTACTTATATTTCGCCTCTTTTGTTCCTTCTCATCTCTAATTCTCTTAGGTTTTAGGGTGTCCATTGTCCTGCTTTCCCTGCTATCATTTTTCCACTCATTTCTGGCTCTAAGAAATACCCTACTACAACAACACCCAGAAATTATCAACTATCAGGTTGAGTCCTACAGGAGAATAAGTCCAGATTAATATTCCCCTTCCTCAAAATATCGTTCAGTGTAACTCAAGAGCCTGAAAATCAAGAAAGACAAAAAAAATAATATTGTCTTCCGAGTGTTTGAAAGGAATAAATTAGTTGCACAGAAACATGAACCAAATATTCCCTGGTCAATTGTGGACTTTACGACCCCAATTGAGCCGAACATTTCTGTCGTTAAGTGAAAAGTTGTTAAGTGAATTTTACGACTTTTCACGCCACAGTTGTTAAGTGAATCACTGCAGTTGTTAAGTTAGTAGCATTATTAAGTGAATCTGGCTTCCCCACTGACTTCGTTTGTCAGAAGGTTGCGAAAGGGATATAACCTTGGAAAATAACCTTGAATAAATGGAATATAACCTTGAATAAATGGGTTAGTTGCCAAGCAACTGAATTTTAATCAGGTGACCGTGGGCATGCTGCAACGATTTTGTTAGTGTGAAAAGTGGTCATAAGTCAGTTTTTTGGGGTGCCATTGTAACTTCAAACGGTTACAATTCAATGAAACTATTGTAAGTCGAGGACTACCTGTATTTTTCTTTTTATCTTTTCCCTTTCAGATTAGTCAAACAAGAGAAGACGCTTTTGTAAGTATATAAGAATAGAGCAGGGGTAGGCAACCTTGGCTCTTTTATGACTCGTGGACTTCAACTCCCAGAATTCCTGAGCCAGCTGTGCTGGCTCAGGAATTCTGGGAGTTGAAGTCCACGAGTCATAAAAGAGCCAAGGTTGCCTACCCTTGGAATAGAGGTAGTGGTAGGGTCCTCTGTTCATTTCTGAAATTGGAACATGCTGACTGGGGCCTGATGGGAATGGGAAGCAGATAGAAAAGGAAGGGGAATATTTGCCTGTAGGCAAAAGAGAGACTTGTATAGTACCCCACTGCACTCCAGAATGATTGTCTGTATCCCATATTCAGTAAACAATTGGAATGGCGGGGAATAGCAAAAGGGAACTGTAGCCACTTCTGCTTCTAAACATCATGTCCTGGACAACCTCTCAGGATCGTACACAAGCACATGTGCACATGCACACACGCACGCACGTGAACACACATTCTTCTATTAAGAAAGATTATTTTTTAGAAGCAACAGGCAGTTCTTGCAAAGCAGAGTTTGCTCAGCTTTGCTTCAGGGCAGGGGTCTTCAAACTTGGCCCTTTTAGGATTTGTGGACTTCAACTCCCAGAATTCCTCAGCCAGGCATGCTGGCTGAGGAATTCTGGGAGTTGAAGTCCACAAGTCCTAAAAGGGCCAAGTTTGAAGACCCCTGCTCCAGGGCCATGGAGGAAGGACTAGGCTTGAAAGGAGACACTGGGCTGAATGAGAAATATTGCTGACCAAATGTGGCCAGCAGGCCAACATTTCTAATTATCTGTTTTAGCACTTTCAGATGATTCAGGAGATAATTTCAAAGCAAAAGAAACAGTGAGGTTAACGGAGGCAAACTACACTGAAATTAGGTTACAAAGGGCCAATATCTCTAGGGTGCCATACTATCATTGTTAGCTAATTAAGCACTTGTTTTATTAGTCAATGGCTTTAACAGCCATTACTTTGTTAAACGTTTATGCCACCCAAAACTTAAATGTAGGAGATTTAAAACATTAAAGTTCAATAAATTTAAAAAGTACAAGCTTTATAATTCTATATATTTAAATAAATGTTTACCCCCATTTAAATGAGTGATCCTTTATTTTTATCCTTTCCCAATAATGCACTAGAATAAAATAGAGAGGTCCTCATTTAGCAACCATAATTGGGACTGACAACTCCAGTCTTTTAACAAAGCGGTTGCTAAGTGAAACGGTGACTGTGCTTTTGATCTTACTTCAGCTTTCCTTTGCTTTTACAAACCTGTGAAGGTGATAAATGCAAGAATTGATTGCAAAGTTATTTTTTTCATCACTGTCATGACTGCAAGCAGTCACTGTCCAAGGCTGTTATTAAATGAGGAATACCTGTACTCTTTAAAAAAAAATAACATTGTTTCCTCATTTCTATTGTGACTTCTAAAATATATATTCAAAACTGCTTTCAACTGACTGATTTTGTTCTGCCAACCATTCAGGAGTATAGTTCTGAAGTACAGTTGGATAGGTGTTGTTTTACCTAGGACAGTGGTGGCGAACCTATGGCACGGATGCCAGAGGTGGCACTCAGAGCCCTCTCTGTGGGCACATGCACCGTCGCCCCAGTCCTAGGCCTTCAGCTGGGTTTTATAAAAACTTTTCGCTTTAGGCCTCCGCCACCGTGTGCCAAAAAAAAAGGTTCAATCAATCAGTCAATTTCAACTTCTCGCAGGAAAAAAAAAGATCTTGCAAAGTTGGAATTGATTGATTGAACTTTTTAGTCCCACCCAGTCTACCGTTACCACCGCAGCCATGCCCACCCAATGGGCCAACACCCACCCGGCACCCGACGATGCATAAGTGGGTTTTGGGTTGCAGTTTGGGCACTCGGTCTCTAAAAGGTTCACCATCACTGACCTAGGATAATAATAAAGCAAAGTGCTGTTTCAGCCAGGGTTGAAAATAACTGTAGGTACATTAAACCCCCAAAATTATAAATATGTTATTTGCTTAATTCCAAAGTTCCACCCAAAAAAGAAGAGCTCCCGAGAGGTGGAGACATTTCCTTCTTAATCAGCTTGGAGCAACTACAGTATAGATCTCCTACATTTTATACTAGGTTAAAATTTGATAATGAGGAAAAATAGATTTTAGGCATGACTTTGAAAATGCTGAATGGATCATAAACTCAGCATCTTTTTTATTTAATGGAGTTAAA